AACAGCAGCTACAGCAGAGCCCCAGGATGCTGCCGCAAATACTTCAGACCGTCTCTAAGGATCCACTTAACTTCCTGTTTTAACAGATCAAACACCAAATGTACCTTAAAATGCATTAATATAACGTAATATCTTCCATTTCTCTGCTCTTGGGTGCAGCCAGTCAGCTGCAAGTTTCCCAAGCTGCATTTTATTTAGAATATTTTGGATATGCTCATAAAGAAAAAGAAAATTAAATCAGCAAATTAAGGATTTTTCTCAAATAATTTGGAGTTATGATCCACAGAAAAATCATCAGCAGGTCCCTGCAGCCACGTTTTCACAACTTTATTTACTTAATGACAGGAAATGACTGAATGGACCTTTGGGGGGAAAAAATCATTTTCTGGTAAGAGATATAAATGAAATATTGAATATTTCCTCGTTTATTTTAAAAAAAAATAAACTCAGTGCAATGTATTTAAAAAGCTCCTAACAAACTAATTTTTAGAAAGCCAAATTGAACGACTTTAACTACGAAGTTTAAATAAAAACAAGCACTTTACTAACAGTCGGTGTCGATTACTAACCGTTAACGTTTGCATGTCGGCGTGAGGAATGAAATCTGTGGGAACGAGCCGCCCCATCGAACACGCTTCGCTTAGCGTTTGTTTCACACCATGATTGTTCGTTTCTTTACTCAGGTTCTCTTTTGCTTTAAATGTTTTTCTAAAATTATCAAATCATCTTTTTTTCCCTCATTTTGCTGAAAATAATCAACACATTTTGCTTTTAAAACCAAGATAAACATCTTTCTGTGTATATTTTTCATGTTTGTACATTCTGTGTTGAGCAACAGATCAGCAAAAAAAAGTGGAAAAAATGTCACATTCACATATGCAATAAATGTGCAATATTTCTGTCATGCTGGAAAAAACATGTAAATATGCAGATATATTTTTACCCTAAAAACTTGTTCGCATGTTTCAGCTCCTCTGGATGTAAGTAGAAGTGCTCAGATCTGATGTTGTGGTAGCCGTCTGAAATGGTTTTAGGTTGGAAAAAGTTTGATATTTTCCTTTTTTTCTGCTGCATTTCACTGTAAACGTCCACACTGCTGCTGTAAGAAGAACAAACTAAAATCAGATCTGATTTAGGTTCACATGTGTAAAATTCGTCTGCTTGTTTCGGTGTTGCTGAATCCTGGCACCAGTTTTTAAATCCACGTGCTTCCAAAGAACTGAAACTAAATGAGTCTCATGTGAACAGATGGATGTTTGTTTTAATCGCCAGTTGACTGGAAGTGAGTTGTGATGTGAACAGAAACGGATTATTTAGAACATTTTTCACACATAGATTTAACATTTTAATGTAAAAAAAAAGAAAAAAGGTTGCAGTATTGTAATGTTTTCTGAACACTTGTCATTCAGCATGCTGAGCAGATTTTCAGATTTGTTGTGTACAGTAAGAACCTAAACTCTGGCAGTGAGGAGGAACGCACCAGGACCAAACTGAGATTCGGCTCAAAACATTTGTTAGGATCATTTCTCTCTTTTTCTGCTGCTTTTCTTTGCTTGGCTCCTCGTTAACCCTTTTAGCCTCCCTTACATCTTGTCTAATCATAAAGGGAGGCTATTATATTCTGTGGATTATACTTTATCATTTACAGAAAAATAAGAAGGAATATTTTTGTGGACTGATGTAACTGAAGGGATCAAATAATGTCTTTATTTTGCACAGTTTTCCTGATATAAATGCTGTATTTGTGTTTTAGTCACAGTTATCTTCTGTTAAATCATATTTGACCTAAAGTTGAATCAAACAGAAACAGGCCTTCCTGTGCCTCCAGGAAGTCCCTTAGACCCTGATGTCAATTTAGATGCAAAATGCGGCTAGATTTAATTAGCTGAACCTTTAAAGAAGCACTTATTACGGAAAATGTACATGTGAGTTATTTGAATTTAGTCGTACTGATTATGTTTAAAATTTTCATATGCAGCTCTGGAAAAATTAAGAGACGACTCAAAATGATCAGTTTCTCTGATTTTACTTTTTATAGGTTTATATTTGAGTAAAATGAACTTTGATCTTTTATTCTATGAACTACTGACAACATGTCTGCAAAATTCAAAGTAAAAAGTTAGTTTTTATCTGCAGGAAATGAGAAATGGTGAAAATAATGAAAAAGCTGCAGAGCTTTCAGACCTGAAATAATGCAGAGAAAACAATTTAATATTCATTTAGAAACAACAATATTAATGTTTTAGCCCAGAAATCAGTATTTGGTGGAAAAACCAGGAGGTTTTCAATGAGCTTCAGTGCATTTTTTCCCACAGCTGTTTATTATTTTTACCTGATGTTATTGATAAACAGTTCTTGTCAACAAAAACAGTCTGAATATCCGCAGACAGAATTGGAATAAATGTAATGCAGATTATTGAATAGTTTCTTGCAAAACTACTTTAAGTCTTTGAAAATGTAAACTATTTTTGTGATAAAAATTCATGCATAACTTTTCAGTGGAACAAAAAATATTCTTTTTTTTCATGCATATTTATTCCCCCTTTTATTACTTTACCCCTAAATAAAATCCAGTAAAAACCTTAAGATGTCACTCAACAAGTAAACAGGATCAGTCTGTGTATAAATAATATAACTAACATTTATTTTATTTCAGTTAAACTCTGCAGTGACAGAAATACCACATTTTGTACAAAAGTGTAATGTTGGGAACTCTAAACTAAAATAACTATTAATTACAACAGAGGAGAATATTTTGATCAGGTGATTTCATCAGTTAGAATAGATTAATGCCTTTAAGGATTTTTAAAATGTACAGACTCAAAGATCCATGTATAAAAGCCATATAAATTATCTGCAATAGATTACTAATTATTGTCATAAACATATCAGATCACAAAACTTGTTCCCACTGAATTTTGAATATTGTTTTAGTTCACGTGTCAAACTGAAGGCGCGGGGGCCAAATGTGGCCCGCCGTAGCTTTTTCTGTGGCCCTCTAGACTCCAGATTACATCAAAAGTCTCCAGTTTTTCACAAATCCTGAAAATTTACACAAAATCAACAGATTCCCACATTTTTTCTGATTTTACTGCAAATTTTTCTCAAAATTCATCAAAAACTTTGGATTTAATTGACTGCTACCTCAGCTTTACTTGATGTCAATACGGCGAGTATAAAAATTCACATTTAACATCACACATCAGCGCAAATATAAAAATTCCTTACAAATATTTCTAAATTAGCAAAACAAAATCTGTGATTTTGATTCCAAAAAGCCATAAAAAACAAAACCCTGATCAGTGATAGCTTAATTATAAGAAACACTGATTGGATGCTGAAACAAACAGCTATTTATTAATATCAATCCCAGAATGTATTGATAAAATGGGCTTTATCAATACATTCTGGCACCACCGGCCCTTTAAGAACAGTCAGATTTTTGATTTGGCTCAAAATGAAACTGAGTTTGATGCTCCTGTTCTAGTTGCAATTTGGATTTATTAAAAAAATCAAATGTACTACTTTCAAAAAGTTAGATGTAACTTGGTGAAGAAGACCAATCACCAGCTGATATTATTTTGCCATGATGGCGTCTGTGTGGAACAATGGCAGCTGTTGGACGACGTTTTAATGGCCGTGGTGCTGAAAGTGAGTGATGTAAATAAAGTTCCTTCTGTGATTCTAAAACAACATAAATAAACAACAAGTTTCCAAAAATTTACGCCTTCAGTATGTCAAACCTAGGAGCAATTTTCCAGTGATAAAAAATGGTGAAAATAAGACATTTTATTGCATATAATAAAATAATAGATTCATAGATAATGTAACTAGATCTAGAACGCTGTTTTAAGAAGTGACATTACAATCAGTTTTAAATCAAAACACAAAATGAATATATGTAATGTAAAATCTATATAAAAGTATAATTATATAGCTTTATAGAACTTAAAAATATTTTTTCCTCTGGAGAGCTCATTGTTTTAGTGTATTCATTACAGATAAAAACATCACAAACTCAATAATTTCACTGGATTTGCTGTAAAACTTTTGTTTCATTTGACTGCTGCTTTGTTGGTAAACATGTTTACAGTTGATTTTTCATTAAAATTCTGTTTTAAACCATTTATGGTTGGTATTTTTAATGCAAAAGTTGGGCTTGATTGTAATGTGATTATTGAAAACATGATGTTTTTCCAACCTGTTTATTATTTTACTGGCCTGCTGGAGGTTTAAGGTGACATCACTCCACGCCTCGTCCTGTGGAAAAATGAAGAGCACACAGAAGAAGTTAAAAAGCAGCTGCAGCAACGGATGATGTCTGGGTTTAATGAAACAACATTCATTTTCCTTGATTTCATCAAGGAAAATCCTTCAGAAATGTTTTATCATTTTGTGTCTTAGCACCAGCTCCCATCTGTAAATTAGATGTTTAGCACCAATTAAAGGCACAATTTAGAACGTGAAGAAGTCAAACTCACCATAAATGCTAAGGTACAAAATGACTGGGGCTAAATTTACTGTTGTATTTTACTAAATGTTTACTTTTTCTTTGAAAAGTGAAACCATTTCTGGATGTTTCTGAACAACAGTTTTGCAAACACATGCAGGTCAAGCAGCACCAAATCACAGCTGAGCTCTCGAATGCTGTTCAGTCTGGGAAAAGTCAGTTTTCCATGTTTTTGTAATGTTTCCATTTCATGATTTTGCTGTTTAAGACGAACCAACCATTGCAGCAATTTAAGTGTTTGTTGTGTGTTGTTGAAGCATTTTATTTCAATTTGTTCACTTCATTCTGACACAGTTAAACTGCAGTTGACAGGTAATGGTAACTCCTGATTACTTTACATTTGTTCATAATGTCAGAACCTAATTAGTCATTTTTTATTTGTATTTGAGAAACCTCAGCTAACCAAATATGAAGTGTGACTGAACATGATTATTTGAAGGCTAGCGGCGGTGAACGCGACACTAACGGCTTTCTGTTTCTCTCTTTGCAGTGTTAAGTTTCTAGCATTCGCCTTCTCTGTTATGAGGAGTCAGTAACTGGTAAACAAATTGCGGCGGGAGCCACATAAGCAACAGGCTTGTCACGGACGGACAGTTGAAAGGAGATCTTTGAGGTGACGAGAGAGACCAGAGGGTAATCATGAAATAAAAAAATATATATAAATATGTATCACACGGTCTGCTCCTCACATTGTTACCAAAGCAGCCTCTTGGATCGCCAACCACACCTTTTTGACAACAGTTCACCTGAACCCCCTCCCACCAGCCCAGTTCTTCTTCCTGTGCCCCCTTCCCTTGTCCTTCAAGCGGACTGAGCATTGCACTGACACACTTTTGGAGAAAACAGGACTCCTGATGACACATTCCAGACGACATCTCTCTGACAGTGTTATGAACGCCATCCTGCTTATTGACCAAATCGGCGCCGCCTGCAGTGCTGAACCACTGAGCAAGTTTCCCGGTCAAGCACTCGTCTTTCACCTGGACTCAAACGAACAATGTAGCATCTGTGCTAACACACTGTAGCATCTGTTGGTTGGGAAATACCGTGACTTAAAAACCAATCCATCCACAGTTCAATGAGAGAGAAAATTATGCATTCAAGGGATCTTCTAGATGTCACTCCTGTATTCCTTTCCAGTGAAGAAGAAGAAAGTCATTGAGGGAGCACATGAGAGACAAAGGATTGGTCTTATTCAATACAACAATTAATTTAAAAAAGAGAGAGATGCACAAATATAAAAATGCACAGTCTTTAACAGCACCTCCTGATAGCCCCTTGTTAAAGTTTAGCACTTGTATAGTCTTCCATTTACTTCTATTAGACTGAAGTACTGCCCTGCTCATCAAACAGCACTAACTCTGAAGCAGAACAATCGAAGCACATGTAGCATTATCTTAAACCAGTCATTTTATACTCGCCCTAAACAGTCTCCATCACTAAATAGTGGAAAAAGACTTATCTTTATCTCTCATGTACTGATGTGGGCTTGCACGAAAATCTATGTTGGGTACCAAAGGTCCTTTAGCATGCACTTGCTGAATGACCCTCTGTAATGTATAGTAGATTAGTAGAGATCTTAAATATAGGATGAGGCTTCTACTCCCTCTCATGCTAACCATTGTCTCTTAGTCCTTTGACTGCCAGTAGCTTCCCGTGCCTCACTGCACACGTAGGAAACGTCCCCGTGTCTGGGCGACGGAGACTTGATTAGTAAACAGACTGACTCACGGAGTCAAACCCTGTTGGAATATCGGCCTATCCTGCCTAAATTACAAAAAAAATGTAAACAGTTCTGCATTATTTTGAACGGGACCAATCTGGTGAATATTTCCCAAACACTGCCGATTAGGCGCCAAGACTCCTCTGATGCATACTGCCCTGCCTCTCTTGTCCCTCTTGCTGCCAACAAGTGCTTCACTGGCAACACAATGTCACGATGAAGTTCAGGGGGAAAGAGGGAGTCCTTCTAGGCCCAAAGGATATATTCAGAGAAACGAACCAAGAGTAAGAGCAAGCGTGGACGTGTACAAAGAGAACAAATCTATATTTTGATAAACAAATCTACGATGCTCCATGTCTTTGGAGATGGGGTCCTGTCCGGGAAGAGTCCGGGAAAAAAAGGTCTCATACAAGAGAAGAAAAATAGTCGGTGGAAAGGATGCAGGAAAAGAAGTATTCCTTCATGCTGGGGTGTGCAACATAATTTAACCCACGGGTGTTGGGGATGAAAAAAGGTCTCTAGAAAGACCTTTAGCAATGACTGACTCTTGCCCATTCAGACATGGAAAAGAAAAAGGATGGACAATAAGAATAATGGGGGGAAAAAATGCATTTTTGTAACTTTGTTTACCAGCATGACTACTTTGCATGACTGTCTTTTCTGCAAGCCCTTAGTTGAAGACAAGGGTGCTAGAGATACAAAAAAGTATATATAAAATAAATTTAAAAAATGTTATATGCAATTAATGTTTTAAAAAAGATTATAATTAAAGAGAAGAGCTATATTTTCTTTTGAGAAGTAAAAAAAATGTGAATATTGAAACATGTATGTTTGCAAAGTACACCCTGAACTATGTTTTGTTTGATGAAATCTCTCTGCTACTACTGCCCTACACTCTTCATTCCAGTGTTGATGGCCTCTGCCATGGTTTTTATTTTGTAACGCATTGAGCAGCACACTTTCTAAACATTCAATTGACCAACTTTGCCCGTAGCATCTGAGCAAAGTCCTGTAGTTGTTGTCAGTCACAAAGTCCATGTTTCCTCCTTGACTTGTTTGCACATCTTCCGTAGCAAAAGCAGCACCGGTACTGAAACAGCAGCTCTCCATGTTCTGAAAGCTTGATTAGTAATCATAGTTTGCTAGTTTTCTTTGGCAATAAGGCAAGAGTTGTCACGACTGTAGCTGATAAAAACCGAGTCCTTTGAGTTATCTTCAAAGCTTCGGTGTTGAAGGGATTCCTAAGAGTCTTGGATGCCTCGTTCGCAGAGATAGCAGTCTCACCCTCTGCAGGAGAACAGGAAGACCAATAAGATAATAAAAGATGCAATATGGCGAGGAGTTGGGAGAGATTTTTAAGTTTGCATGGAATAAACTGCCATTCCAGATTCAGAGCGTGGGCTTTAGGGACTCAGGTGTGCTGATAGTGTGTGTGGATGTAGGTGTTTTGCTATTTTCTTTTAACATAATAAATTCTAATATATAGAAAAATAATAATGTGAACACCTCACAGTGATGTGTTAAAAAATTAAAAATCAAAAAAACAATACAAAAAAAAAAAACAGCATGCATTATGACTTGATAATCTCTCGAGGGGGAACAGAGTCTTGCCATTTCCCTCCAGCCTTTCTGTCATTGTTCCTGTCATGATTCCAGTCCGGATAACTTTATAAACACTGTGCCGTGTTGTAGAGCAGCAAAGTCTTCCTTGGAGAGGCAACTGAGAACTACTCACACTCACAGTGTCGGCATGAGTGTGTAGAGGTAGCTTGTCTTCATTTTTTTTAAAAGGTCAGGTCTTAGCATCTGTCATGACCACACGGTCGAGTTCTTGTCATCCCGCTGGCTAGTTCATCGTATCACAACGCAGTCATGCAAGCACCAATCAAAGAGACCCAGAGCTTCCAAAATGATGTCAGAAAGTGATAAAGGGTAAGAAGTGGTCCACCTGGGGGAGACTGATGGTGAAAATGAAACAGTGACAGGTTGAAGGAAGACAAAGGTAACCTGAGTGTAGATGGGTCTTCAAGAACTTCTTTGGTTTGGTTTTCCCAGTGAGTTTCAGGCCCCGCTGGTCCGGGGTTTAGCTCAGGCAGCTGAACGGTCCCCCGCCCATTCCTCGTTCATTTCAGCGTGATGTAGACGACAGAGAGCGTTCAACAGTTCTGTTGAGTCTGCGCAGGTTTAACAGGGTCTACAACTTTCTCTATTTGCAAAAATCTTACTAACACACAGTAGTTTTCATTCGGGAAAGTTCTCAGAGCTTGGATGGCCACAGTGATTTTTCAGAGGTGGCGTGCACACCGGCAAAAACAAAAAAAAAACTTTGTGATTCACCCAATTGTTTGTAAGTTGTAATTTTTATTTTTTATGGCCAGGCAGTTTTTATTTTCATGCCACTGTTTTTCATTGTTAAGTTTTCCATATCTTTGTTCTCCACGTTGCAGCTGTCTGCCAGCGGCAGGCTGAAAAGATGTCTTTTTTTCCCTAATGCATAATACTGCCATTTGATTTAGATTTGGTTAACAGGATGAGTTACAATGTTGATTGTGCCAAGTCTGTTTTATTTTTAAAGGTTTTCTATGTGTTGGAAAATGTAAAAGAAAAAAGCAGTCACCTCATACAACCAAAAGGACAGAAATGCTTTGTGTCGGCGTGTTACTCTGATTTGTCCTGAAGGCGCCACGCGGTCTTTGGACAAAAACCTCCTCAGCAGCATCCTGTTTGGTTTTACTCACATGTCTGTTCATTTTTAAAATGTTTTCATTGTGTCTCTTTCTGTTTGAGGACACTGTATGCAATCCACACCATGAATGCCACTGATCGACACTTACTGTAAGCTCCCCGAGACACAGATGTGCCGTCATCAGTTTAGACGTTTTCAGCCACCTATTTAGTGGCTTTATGGCTTTCCATAGAGTTACATAGCAATCACATATATCTTAAAAAAGTATTTTACAAATTGAAAATATTACAGTTGTTTCAGAGCAAATTATATCATACTATATAAAGTTTTCTAATATATGAAATGTTATTTTAATTAGAAAATCTAACAAGTCTAACCTCTTTATAAACACCTGATTTACTGCATTCACATAAGCATCCCAAAGATTCATTTTACATGCTATTATTGTGTAAAACAGACTTAGGTACTGGTCCATTGTACTGTGGTCTTAATGGAGCCTGAATGGGGAGAAGAGGTGGTCACTGCAGCGTCAGGTTGTGACTTATGCCGGATTTCATTTTTGAAATGTTGGAACACGAAGAACAACTCATCAAGAACTGTATAAAGTATATTTCAATGGAATGTTCATGATCTATCTTTTTATATTTTGAAGAGAAAAAAAAATAGAAACATATCAATAAAGCGTCATAATTGAACATATTTCTACTATTGAGACTTAAAATGTATGAATGTCAATGCGATCTAATGTGAAACAACCTGCACTGCAGCTTGAATGAATAACTGAACAACAGTCATGAGATGCTTTTTCAGAGACATTGAAATTGCTTAAAAATCACTGAGATCAACCTAAAATAAATGGAAGAGTAATCTCAGCTGTGTGTCGGTTTGTTTAAGTTGAGTAACTGAAAGCAAAAGAAGCCCTCATGCGTTGTGACCGAGTAGGATATGAAGTGGTGAAGTGACTGTCACAGTTAGCTGTGTTCATCAATCTGACAGCAGCAGGGAGGCCACTAAGCACTGACTGATGTAATCAGAGCTGAAATGAGGAGGCGAAGAAAATCCAAAGTCTTTCAAGGCAACAGTGACATGTTAGATGTGACTGAAAGTTTGAGGACGTTTCCAGGAGCTTGCTAAATACCAGCATGGAGGTTATGGGGGGATTTTTCTGCCATAATTTGAGAGCACACATTTAAGTTTGAAAGCAGGGCTTCATGTCTTTCTCCTCAAAACATGTCTGCTCTTTCAAATATTCACTGTGCTTTCTCAAATCTCCACTCGCTTGCAACATTTTCTGCAGGCGCTTGGAACAAAAACCTACTGTCGCCTAGCAACCTCTCAGCCAATCGAATGAAAGCGTTATACTGGGTGTGTTTGTTTCCTTCTAGTGGGTGCGCCTGTGTGGCTACTGTCGATTCCATCTATCCATCTATGATGGACAGGTTCATAGATAAATACATTTTCTGTTAATGGTTGTCTATATATCATTACATATAACCACTGACAGAAAACATATATCTATAAACCTATTCATCATAGGGACACAGACAGGTAGCATGTTGTGACTAAGGTGTAACACAGTTGGTTCTGTGGATCTGTGAACAAACTCCTGCTACAATTGATAGTAGCCACACAGGCACACCGACTAGAAGGAAACAAACGCACCCAGTGTAATGCTTGCATTCTATTGGCTGAGAGGTTGCCAGGCGACAGTGCTTTTCTGTTCCAAGCACTAGCAGAACACGATTCGTAAGAGAGCAGGGAGGTTTGCAGGTGGAGATATGATCTGAGCAGTTTTGAGAAGAAAGACATGAAGTCCTGCTTTCAGACTGAAAATGTGTGCTCTTGAATTATGGCAGGAAAATTCCCCCATAGAAGGTGATCTTTAAATCTGGGGCGACCTGGAACAGGGTCAGGATATTTTGAATCAGGGAGGTAATCTAATGGCCTTTCTTCTTTTACATAAAAAACTAAATTGTTAAATCTCAACATTTGTTTTTGAAAGAATCTTTAATATTGACACACACCAGTTTATGAAAGTAAAGAGCCTTCAGGTTGTGTTAATACAACCTGAGGTATTTGACACTGTGTCACATTAAACCACAAACTTGTGTTCAGTCTCCTTTAGCCTACTACGGTCTTTACCAGATTAGCATATCCTGAGACTATTTTTCTTCTTTTAAAAAAATTGCTCAGGCAGAAAAAAGCACTTTTTAAAACACAAAATAGACTCTTAGCTGGATTCAGGTCTGGACTTTGACTTGGCTGTTGTAACACATGAACATGCTTGAAGCTACTCCCATCAGTTTCACATGTTTTGCAGTTCCTAAGGTTTTCGTCCAGCATCAGATCAACTCTGACCATCCATCAACTATAGAGTGGACTCCTGGTATTCATTGGGGTTAAAGGTCACAATGCCACCCACGAACAGCTGAAGTCCTCAAACACTTGAGATTATATCTTTTAAATAAACATTATAACTGACAAATTTATTACTCCGAAACACTAAATATACCTCCAGAGGCATTAATATGCACAGGGGAAACCAGAAAAAGATTATAGATGATTTTTCTGCAAATAATTAGCAGAAACCATGCAGCCCTAACTCTGACCCTGATATACATATTTTAATTTGTAAAAAAATACAAAAACATGTCATTTTTCTCATTTCTATATGTGTGTGTTGTCATGTCAGGAGTATCACAGGGTAAAATGATTGCTCTGCAAAGCTGCAGCACAGTAAAACCTTTATTTGACGCATTTCATTCAGTAATTTCATAGGATTAGTTTGTTGCCTTCATCTTTTAGTTCACATTAAGCACAGCAGCCAAACACACTATATTAGACGACCAGGACAAGCATAAGGGTTTGTTTGCTATGAATGAAGACAGCTGTGAGGAAATGTCGCCAACATACAGCAGCCTCTGTTACAAAACATTACCGCCCTCTGGTGGTGTATCACGGTACTGTTTGGTAGAGTATATGCAACCACATTTTCCAAATCGATTTAATTGATTATGTGCCATCTGATCTTTATTTTTTCTTACTTTACACTATTTACAACATTTCTGAAAAAACAAGATGGAAAATGATCGTTTAATTTGATGTGTTTTAAGGTTTCCACTTTCATTTACCATCAGACAAATCAGCAATGGAAATTGAAAATGGTAGCATAATTAAAATAAGACTGACTCATTTTTGCTTTCTCTTAAAAGAAAAGCATAGACTAAATACACACATGCATATCTTTTTAATTAAATCATATATACATATTTTAATTAGATCATTGGGAGATTTCTGTAAATAAATCTGTTTTTTCATCAAGCAACAGAAGATTAAGTTAATTTGTGTTTCTGTTTTTTTATCTAAATATTTTTGAAGGGAATGCAATAAATGTAGTTGAGGAAGTATTTCTGAACCATAATAATAAACTTACCAGAGGTGACAAGAAGCCACCTGAGTCTAGAGTTAAATCCCAAATAAAACCATGAAAGTCCAAATTTGAGTCCAAAGACAAAGGTGTGCAATTCTTGAGTTAAGTCAAAATCCAAAACATTTTACAGATACATAATTTAATTATAGTAATAATTCTGAGATGTTAAAATTATTTTTAGCAGGTGCTTTGTTTGCCAGAACAACCTAAGTGAACAAAGTGAATATCAAAGTCGTCTTAAAATCATTGCCTCACCACAATAAACTGAAATATAAAACACCTTTAAATCAAATGGCTTATTAAAAATGATTAACAAGGTTTTAAATCAAAAGCCTTGGCAGTAATCAAATGGGGTCGGGGCCTCCTGTCAGCAGAAAGCCCCATGCTGGGCTCAGGCGTGTTGTCATTCGATAGGGAGGTTGAAGGTTGCCGTGCCTCATGGCTGAAGTGGAGGGAACAGGACAGGGAGGAGGTGGAAGGGTCTGCCGGGGATCTAATTTCAACACGACAGCGCTCCTAAAACATTTCGTCCACTGAGGGACAGGGCGCGATCCTGGATGTTCCTTCAACAAACAACTGGAGGCAGAGGTTGTGACCAGGCTGGACACAGCGGATCACATCGCCGGCCGGAGCGGGCAGCCAAAGGAAGGATTGTGTTTGTGTGACACACATAATGACAGGCGAAAAGACAGACCACCTGGTGAGCAGCAGGAGGCGAACAATGTGAATCCTCTTCCTCCAGGTAGTGTCTTTCAGCAGCTTGCTTTCCAAACAGTGAGTAGACTTTCTTCTCACACAACGTCTGAACACTACAGACACAAAATCTGGCAAAGTATTTTTCGTTCCTAGTGCAGTATCTCATTACACTTGAAATAACACAACACTGACTTACAAGTAACTTTTCAGTAGGACATAGGAGCTTGTTTTAAGTCAATAATCCCTTAAAATTTATGAAAATGTACTCGTTCCACCAGGTCTTGTTATAAGGGAAATAATCTGCCAGTGGAACAAGTACTTCTTCAATATTAAGGACTTATTGACCTACAACAAGCTCATATATCTTGCTGAAAAGTTACTTGTAAGTTTCGTCTTATTTAAAATGCACCAATCTATTTGCATTAGAAACTAAACCAAAAATACTTGGCAAGATTTTGTGTTTTTGCAGTGATCGAACATTTGCTTGCTGTTTTTCTTTAAAA